AAGAACAAAATTAATGTATTATAAAAGTTTCTAAAGCATGGAAAATGAAAGTGAATCTTAAGAACAATCATCTTTATATTTATTAATAAATTAAATGGTAAAATGCTTTATTTGCATAATATTTTTACGAATGATTGACATGCATTTGAAGTTACAGTAGAAGATTAAAGTAGAAGAGCCGTATTCGAGAGGCACTTCTCCAAAAAGTGATAATGAACTCTACCCAGTGCTTTTTTGATCATAATAAAACAATTCTACAAATTTAAGAGCAAATTCAATGAATACCCGCAGAGTCATAAATTTTCCCAGTGTTATAGCGAGGTCGCTTGTATCTTTTGATTCATTGATCCGAAGACTGATTAGTTCTTGTTTGCAGTTTTAGGTTTTTTCCTTCAAGTTTTGTTTCTATGCAGAACGAATAAAAATGCATAACTGTTCATGGCTATCTTCTTTCAAAATCCCGAATTTTTCTTGCTAACTAACGTTTTCCATGTAGAATAGTCTTTTACAATGTTATCCTATTTTTCTAGACTAATTTTCCTTGCAATAATTTGATTTTTATGTTTTCTTTGACATGCTTGCCTGAACATAGAAAATGAACAATTGTAAATGCATAAGGTAAATTTAAACTATCGAAATTCGTATCCCAATTAGTGCAAAAGTATAAACAGACAGCAGTTTTGAAGTGAGCAACGCGTTATTTATATTTGCCGAAAACTTGCTATACCTGTCGGAGAAGAAAACAAATATTTTTTTATTTTGAGGTGAAGAAATAAGATTTTCGGCAGCTTTGAAACTACAAAATGCTATAGGCTTATGTAGTTAAAGATTTAAGGTATTGAATGGGCTCAATGTACCGAATCCTGCCACTCTTTTAGAAGAATCGACTTCCGATGAAGTTAAGGCTGCTTTGAAATTAAACACTGACGATGCTCTTGCTATGGGTGTAAGTTCACATTGACCAAGAAAAAAAAAAGAGAACGTAAGATGCTCTATGGATTTAGTGTTTCGGAGCCCCTTGGATTCATGTGCATACACCAAATGGAAAGGTAGAACCATTCTTCGGTAGCGACCGTTTGCCCCTAATTGGCCATCTCATCGGCGAGCACTACCAGGGACCACTCACTCACCTTGCGAAGAATTGTTCAGTGTAGTTTCCTAGAGAAAGCACTTTACAATTGGAGTGGATTTATTGTATCTTGTGAACTTTATTAACAATCATTAATTGTTTTTGTATTACATATAATTTAGAAATTTCTTCTTTACTGTTTTCATACAACTTTATTCAATATCAATTAAAGAAAAATATAGGTAACTGCCATGTATAAACTTATTCATAATTTGAAAGACACACAAGAGATCGAAAATAATAGCGGGAATATTAAGTGTGCATGACGTAAAAAGGGTAGAGTTGGCGACATTATGGCTCAGATACAAGACGCCATTAGGTCTCGTCTCCGCAGACAATTCTTCCCCACATTTTTCACATGATATAAAGCCAGTTTCTCCTTGGAGATTTGTGTTTGTTAGCTTATTCACAATCCTCATTCCTATCACGGTGCTTCACCACCTCTAACAGTGACCAATTGCACTTTGATAGGATCAGTTGTCCGCGAGACCTCGGAAAATTGGCGGTAAACGATCCTCTGCCCTTCTCCTCGTTCCCCTTCCCTCCTTTCCCCTCCCCCCCC